AGTGTGAGGAGAAAAGGGCTCAATTTTCCCTTCCTGTCTGCTGTGATCTAGATCATTATCACCACACACAGAGAAATAATTGGTGCTATTTGCATTTCTATCTTTAATGCTCACACGTTAGATGCAAAGGTGTGCCGTGAGTAGCTTGGTCCTCCTTTACAGTCAGCAGGTTCAAGGGAGAACATCTGCCAGTGGTGCAGTGGGTCAGTGCATCTTGCTATTAACCAGAAGGTTGGTGATTCAAGACCACCCAGGGACAGCTGTGGGCAGGATTCCTGTATTGAATGGGGTTGGACTAGATGACTCTGAGGACCCTTCCAACTGATTCTATGAAGTGGAAAAAAGGTTTTTCCTCTTATGATTTCAGGCTGCAGGAACATAGGGAGGGTTGTGATTTCCTCTCAAGCCAACTGGAGGCTGTTCCAAGACTGCAGTAGTTGGAAAGAGTTTAGTGAGAACTAAGTCATCAGAGGAAAATAATGTGGACTCCAGTTGGGGACTTGAATTGTGGTAGTGGGGAGTGGCATCCAGTGAGCCTGGAGCAGGTTGTGCAGCATGGACACCTCACCTTTCACAAGTTGCGGTTCACGTCTCAGTTGCGGGTGTGGAACGGAAGTGGCAGTCACCTAAGTCCTCCAACAACATGGGCCAACTGGATGACACCAGGTGAAGGAATAAAGAATGTGTGTCAGCAAGCAAACATTTCATTTTAATATTTCATATGCGATGTAAAACTACCTAGAGCCAGACCAATTCCGAGCCATTACCAATTCAGATACCAGCATTGGGGCCTCCCTCATGTTCCACAAGTACCTCTACACAGTGGTGGAGCTTCATGCTCCGGCACTGGGGGGCGTAGAGCAGGTGGGGTGGGGTTGGCGTGTGTCCTGGGGGTGTGACACGCTGCCCACAGGGGTGTGGTGCACATCCTGGGGGTGTGGCACGCCGCCTGCAGGGGCGTGGCACCCAGCGTGGGCGGGGGGGGCAGCCATGATGGCACCCCACTGGGATTGCACTGCTGGGGGCGGTACGCTCCCCCCGCTCTCCTCTTTGTTCGCCAGTACCTGCCTCTACATTACTTGTCCCCTTTGTCTCAGCAATGCACAAAGCCTCAACCAGTTCTCTAGGATTTGTACAACTTAAAGATTCTTTTCAAAAACTTGTTTCATTTCAGCTACAGTGGTACCTCGGGTTACATACGCTTTAGGTTACAGACACTTCAGGTTACAGACTCCGCTAACCTGGCAGTTGTACCTCGGGTTAAAGAACTTTACCTCAGGATGAGAACAGAAATCGTGTGGCGGCGGCACGGTGGCAACGGGAGGCCCCATTAGCTAAAGTGGTACCTCAGGTTAAGAACAGTTTCAGGTTAAGAACGGACCTCTGGAACGAATTAACTTCTTAACCTGAGGTACCACTGTACTTCTGTTTTTAACAGTGTTACTGTTTCTGGTCTGTACAATAAGTTTCACTCTGAGAGACCTTGCTCTGTGTGTGTGTGTGTGTGTGTGTGTGTGTGTGAGAGAGAGAGAGAGAGAGAGAGAGAGAGCGCTTTGTTACAACCTTGTAGTAGGCATTCACAAATTCTGTCAGTTTTTATATTGTATACATTTGTAAATAATAATAATAATGCAGCAAACTTTGCAAATAAAAAAAGGAAACATGTTTCTAAACATTCTCCAAAAACAAAGTTAGACATAGCGGAAGGAGATGGTTAGTTTGTGATATTTGAGAATAGACTGCAGCTCTAACATGAACTGATTTGGGACAAAGCCTCTTGGTCAACCTCTTTCCTAGGCCCTGCTGTTGTCTGCCCAGCAGTGGAGGCTACCGCATTTGAAAGCTATGGATTTACTATTTTGAATTATTTTTTGGTTTTTAAAAAAACTACTATCCTCTTCGGTGGGCGCAGGAGACAGAGCCTATCAGAACCTCCTGAATCAGGGGTAGAGCTTGGATGCATCATGGATTTCAAGTGGAAGAGATGTAGTAGAATGTTGTGGGCCTTTGCAAAATATGGTGGGTCATAGATGGAACCTTGGAGGATAAGGAATTGACTGGCTTTTCGGACTCCAATGTGGGTTACCTGATACAACATGGTTTTATTGGAAAGAGCAGTAAAATACCACCTTGTTGGCAATCCTAACCCTTTGAAAGCAGGCCTAGTTAGTCCTTAATACATGAAAGGCTTTGTTAAACAAATTATGCAACTGATGTGCAAGAAAAACCCAGCTCTGTTCTGAACACTAAAGATACCAGGTTTTCTGCGGGCAAGGAGGGATGGCCTCGACTATAGAGTGATAGGCATTTGACTGAGAGATGGCACAGGGGAGAGAGAGAGAAAATAAAGGCAGGAAAAGGAAGAGAAGGAAGTATCCTTCCCACTCCTTGCTCCAGTTTTGTGTAACGTACATTATGGATGGTCCCTGTGAAAAGTTGAAGGAACTCTTTCTTAGTCATCCAAGAATGATTTTTACAAAAAATTCTCTGCCAAAGGCATTCCACCTTATCCTCTGGGGAATGTTCGCCATAGCATTTTACCTCACAAAATTTTAAATAAGGGTGGTCCACCCATTTATTAACATCTAAGGACATCTGAAAGAATACAGACTCTTCCCCACTATTAAGAATATTAATTCCATCCTAGTGATTATGTGCTTCCTGCTAGTTTGAGGCTTCGGAATAGCAAGCCCCTTGTGTTTGCTGGGTCTGACCTTCGCTCTAGAGAGAGCGGCCATCCCAAGGAGGTGAGAGACACCAAGGGGCCATTCGCCAGGGAACAGTTAAAACAGCTGCAGGTTTCCCACAGAAAAATCTAAGACAGATGTAGGTCTGAGTTCTCCTTGTTACCATTTGACTATAAAATCCAGAACACTGTGTTTAAGGCCTCTTTAACCAGTCACAAATGAACAATTACTTTTGATTTTTTTTATTGTTCTTCCTTTTTCCAGATTTTAAATTTTCCCTCTTGGATAGCCTTGGATGCCAAATATTTTCTCTTACATTTGTGTCTGTGTGTGGACTCTTTGAAATTTTCCTTCAAAGTTATACCACACAATGATTGTGGGAAGCCATAGCATCCAAAGACAAACCCTTAGTGTCTTTGAGTGTATGTTGAACAAAATAGGGTTAGTTTTTGTTTCTTGAACTGAGGGGGTGATTTGCTCAGTTTGATTATCTTAGGTCTCACAAACAAAGGCCATAAGATGCTTTCATTTGTCAAGGAAACAACTGTTTCAGCCTATCCAAATTTAGGAGATCATGACATAACAGTTGGGTTTCCCAGATTGATGGCAATGTCACAGATGGTTAGCCCCACTGCTGACACTGGCCATTTTAGCAATATGCCCATTCCTCCATAGAATGAGGTGGAGCTAACCTTAAAAATGATTTTTTTAAAAAATAAAAAGTGTGGGAGGCATGTCCTGCAATACTTCAGAGGATAAACGTGTGGCAAATGCTATGGGGAAGCAAAAGATTAAAAGCAGCACATGAGAGGGCTGCTGCTTTTTATTTGATGCAAGCTCTATGCCTTTAAAAGCTCTAAGGCAGGCAAAAAGGCCACAGGCATGGCAATTCCTATTGACATATGAACATGCCAAGAAGAGTTGTACCTATTGCATTCCAAAGGCACAAATCCCACCTGCACTATATATCTAAAGCAGTAGTATGCAACTTCAAACAATCATTCCTTGGGAACTGTAGTTTCTTAAGAGTGCTGAGCGTTATTAGTAGACCCCTATTCCTTCTCAAAGGGACGCGGGTGTCGCTGTGGGTTAAACCACAGAGCCTAGGATTTGCCGATCAGAAGGTCGGCGGTTTGAATCCCCGTGACGCGGTGAGCTCCCGTTGCTTGGTCCCTGCTCCTGCCAACCTAACAGTTCGAAAGCATGTCAAAGTGCAAGTAGATAAATAGGTACCGCTCTGGCGGGAAGGTAAATGGCATTTCCGTGTGCTGCTCTGGTTCGCCAGAAGTGGCTTAGTCCTGCTGGCCACATGACCCGGAAGCTGTACGCTGGCTCCCTCGGCCAATAAAGCGAGATGAGCGCCGCAACCCCAGAGTCGGTCACGACTGGACCTAATGGTCAGGGGTCCCTTTACCTTTTTATTCCTCCTCAAAGAGCTACAATTTCCAGTGTGGGTTAACCATCAGTCCCTCTTCCCAGGGAACTCTTGGAATTTTTAACTCTGTAAGGTGAATGGGGAGGGAGGGACGGTCTCCTAACAACTCTCAGTACCCATAACAAACTACACTTCCCAGCATTTTTTTACGGAAGCCATGACTGTTTAAAGTGTTGATGAGAGCACAGTGTCTAGGGTTGTAAACCTTCTATATAAAGCAATCTTTCAGTGGAACATAGAACAGTCTGACAACAGGTTCTAGTTGGTATTGGAATTTGTGATCAATGATTCTTTGCTTCCCCACAGTTACCATCTTAGGAAACAAACATTGCATGTGGAATATATATGCCATGGGGTCTCGAGCAGTTGTGTGATGCCGATCTGTTTTTAAAAATAGACCCGTTAGTAATTTTGTTTACCATTGAGAGGCTGTGGGGTGTTTGGCACCATTTATTGATTGCAGACAACTTTATAGTCCAACAAAAGGTGGGGAAAGAGTGCTTATTCAAATAATCCATGTGGTGCTGAGATCAGGGAGAAAGGGATCTGTAAAATATACTCTGGTAACTTTCTCTTCATCAGGGCTGCAACCGTGTGCATTGTCTGGCTGCTTAAATCCCATCTAGACCTCTAAGTATGAGCCTTGGTTTCCTGTCATTAACTTTTGCAGCAAGTCAGAGAAATGATTTTTGTGAAGGGAAGCATAGTCTGATACTGCTTTCCACCCCTTTTCGGGGTTTTTTAATAAAAAAAATAGCATTGTTGTTCAGTCCAGTCATATGGTCACCAGCAAAGGCAGTGCAATTTCAGATGTGGATCTTGCTTCTATTCCCACTGAAAATCACCCTGTTTCATTTCTTTCTTTTCCCCTTCGGCAGGCACTGAGCAGCAGCCTCTATAAGAGTGCCTCTCCCTATGGCTCCCTTAATAACATAGTAGACGGCTTGAGCTCCCTCACTGAACATTTCTCCGACATATCCCTCTCCTCAGAAGCCAGAAAGCCCAGCAAGAGACCACCGCCCAACTACCTGTGCCATCTTTGTTTCAACAAGGGACACTACATCAAGGACTGCCCACAGGTAAGGACAACAAAAGTCTCACCACAATGTTTGGCTGTGCCATCCGCTAAGAAAGAAGTGGATTGTTACCTTCCTTGAGATCATAAGCTAATGTGATATCTCACAATAATCTTCTCGGGGATTATTTGCTAGCTTTTGCAGTCTCTGGACTGATGATGCCGGAAAAGAAAACATACTGGTATCTTACTTATCCCACTCCCCCACCAAAAGGAGTTTCTCTCTCTTACCCCAGCTGAGAGATCTTTGAAAACGTTTAATGTTGCCTCTTTGTGCTTTATCTGTTTTGAAGAACACATCAGATATATTTCTGCCCTCCTTGCTAAGTGCATTTCCATGATCGTTCAGCGGCAGTTATTGAATGGGACACTTCATTTAGAACAACTAAGTAATGTACATTTCAAGCAAAACCCCCAAAAAACATATAGGAAGCAAAAAATGCATCAACAACACATTTGGATCTTGGGAACTAGTGGCTGGTCTGAAATATCAGCTGCAAGGTTTGAGGAAGCCCTAGGCCTCCCCTCCACCACCACCACACAACTTTCTCTCTCCATTTTACCAGGTGGAGGAAGGGAATAGATTGGTCTTCTTCTTTTTTTCTTCCCTTCAAAAAACCAACAGAGAGGGGAAAAAATGACCTGAACATTAATATATATGTGAGCCAGGACACAGATGCAGTAAGAAACAATTTGGACCATGGTTTACAATCCTGACTTACCTTTCAGATTTGTCAACCACTAGGGTTCCCTAGTTTGGATGAAATGGGAAATTCTGGTTTAATGCAAGCTAGGAGATTGTGGTGGAGCCAGTGAATAATGGGGGTTGGAGTGGGCAAGGGAGAAGGGTGGGGCGATAGCACATGCCCACATCTTCATAAAGCATGGTTTCTGAAGCCTTGGGTGATTGTAAAAATGCAGTAATTGTCTTCCAGCCCCAGGCCTCCTTTTGCAATGTGGATGAAGAACCTTAAATGCTCTCTGGAAATGCTAAGTTTTAAAAATTCAACTCGATAGGGAATCTTGTGTTGTTGTTTCTTGCTCCAATAAGATTAGCTCTTCTCATTGCCCTGAGCTAAGATGGACTGAAGGTAGCAGCAGGGTTGTTGACAGAGAGGGAAAACCTCCAGCAAAAGAGCAAACATCCTTGCCAAAGCATTTGTCTCCAGCTTCTGCCAAAGTCTGCTTCCAGGCTCTCCCTCTGTCTCATGGCTTTCTAACCCTTCTCCATATACCTTAAGACTTTTTTCCCCGTAAAGAGAGAACATATGCAAGGCTTGTCATTCAAAACCTACACGCCAAACATGGGCAGATGGTTTTAAGGGCTCAGTAAGAACTGTTGTTGCTTGCCCCCGCCACCCTCAGTCTGGGCCAAATTGTTTAAGGGAGCCATTCTAGCATCGACACCTCTATCCTTAATATAATAGTCGCAAGAGAATTCCATTGCTTTCAGTTAATTTGCAGCCATGTAAATGTTATATTGGAAGGATGGAGGAAAAAGTCACTTCACTGGGTTTACCAGTAAGATAACATGATTTAGGGAAGCCTTATTTGATCTGGTGCCCTCAAGATGTTTTAAACTATTAGCTCCCATCATCTGTGGCCATTGATGGCCCTGAACCATTTGTAGCCCAAAACCATCTAGAGGGCACCAAGTGGGAAGGCTGAATTCGGGCATATCTATACCTGGTTTAATAATCAGGCTGTCTTTTCAGAAAATCCTAGAATCCATCATTCTGCAAGGGGGCCTCTAAAAGACAAATGTCAGCACTTTTCCGAGCTACAAATCTGAAGCCACTTTTGGGGATGTCATGGCAGTTAAATTGGTATAACACTACCAAAAGTTTACACAACCGCAATCAATTGAACAGTTCTTCCTAAGTAGCTTTGGAGACATTCACATGTCCACTCTCAAGCCATGGATTCTGTTGTGGATTCATTTTTCTAATAGTGAAACTGCAGTCATCCTGGGCACATGTCAAATCAAAAAGGTTTACTAGTTTACATCTTGTCTCCCTGGGGATCTGCAAAAAGTTTTTATACTCCCACCGAACTATAATCTCCAGAATTGATTGGGGAACTCCATGATATTAAACGTGATATAAAACTGGCATCATGTGGTGTAGCTATACCTACTTGGCCTGCATCCAAAGAAGTTATTGTATAAGTGAAATTATTTCTTGCTTGCACAACAAAACTTTCCCTCCTGCTTTCTCCTCTGCACCCCTCCCCCTCTGTCGGTACCCATAAACATCTGGTGCAGATGAGGGAGGTGTGAGGCGCTCAAGGGGTGTAGTGGTAGGGGAAGCCCCTGCAAATCCTCCATATTCTCCAGAGGGTAGGGGAACTCCCAGAGTAGATGTGGGGGTGCAAGGGCACATGGGGTGCAGAGTTGGGGAAGTTCCATTGTACAAGCAGAAGTCATCTGTTCATTTTTAGTCACCATTTGTCACAAAAAAACCCCCAGTTGTTTCTGCAATATGGCGTGTCAGTTGCCATATTGACCAGCAGTTGACACCACTAATGAACAACACAGCTCCTCCTGCCTCTGCCCCAAATCCTTTTGCGAGTTCAACAAAGATCTTCAGCGGGCATGCCCTTCTCCTCATAATACCTGGCGATGCACCTCTAAAAATATGGAGCAGGGCTAATTCCAGTCCAGGAGTAGATGTTTGAGTGAAACTGGCTCATTGGGTCTAAACATTTCATGGGCGGGCTACCAGGGAGGCAAAGATTTTCTTTCTGGTGCTGAAATAAACTTTAAAACTCTCATCTGCTCCACTCTGAGCTCCCATTCCTGATTCAGCATGCATGAGAGTGCTAATGGGAACCAGATGTCAGACCCCCACCCCCCACCCTCAAAAACTCAATATGCACTCCCACCCATTTGGTGCATCAGATTTCTTGGCGATTTAGAAAGGAGGAGGGAGAGGAGACCAGGAGAGATTCCTAGAACAGCTGAAACTGAAACTGCAAGACTGTTTCTAAGGGAGGTGGAGGAGGTAAACAGTGATAGCAAATCGAGGCTTCTCCAGCCACATAATTCCCCAAGGGAGAGAGGTAATGGACTGTGTGTGGTTGCTCTTTGTGTTCCAGTCCTCGGAGTGATTTCCTTTTTGTTGTTGTTAAGATTACCAGGGATAGAGTTGTGGGTACTATAAGCTGCAAAAGCTCTAAACCTGGATGGTGATTTGGAGTAAAAAAATAGCAAAATTAGGGCCAAGCAAAAGCATCTCCCTGTTTCCCACAAGTATATTCAGCACTGAAGAAAAGTAGATATGTGCACAGTATTATTTTCAGGAGAAATTTACATCCTAAGGAAATACAGTGGTACCTCGGGTTACAGATGCTTCAGGTTACAGACTCCGCTAACCCAGAAATAGTACCTCAGTTTAGGAACGTTGTTTCAGGATGAGAACAGAAATCGCACGGCGGCAACACGTGGCCCCATTAGCTAAAGTGGTACCTCAGGTTAAGAATGGGCCTCCAGAACGAATTAAGTTCTTAACCCGAGATACCACTGTAATGAGTTGGGATCTCAAAATCAAAGATAGGAAATGTTTGGTCTGCTTCTAAGCAAAAACTTGAGGTAACTCTACTATCTGGCCTGTTTGTTTTGTGTCCATCCAAGAAGACCTGCTCAATTCTGTTGAGTTCCAGAATCTGCTCCATTATAATTTATTTGAATTTAAGCGTGATTTATGTTTAGCCCGAACAACTGTAGGCAGATCAGTGTGCAATGAGTCTATGGTGGTCACTTGTGCATTGACATAAAAGAGGAACTACATCATCAAAAGGAAGGTAAAAAAAGAGATTAGTGATTTGCATAAAATTGCCTATGATAATTATGTATGCAAAATACAACACATCTCATAGTAGGAAAGCCTGTGACCAAGAGTATGCCTCTCATAACAGCTGATCAGTTACTTCAAGGCCCACCCCTCTCTTCTTATGGTTCGTTTATATTTAAACCAGATTTGGACTGGGCATACCTTCGAACAGAGGACTCCTTCGAAGAGACTCCCCTCTGATAGCCCTTCCAATTGAGGACTGTTCTGTAATGTAGGTCACACTATTTGAGCCACACTTCTTTGTCTGTTGCTGTGTATCCCTTTCATTTGAGGAGATTGGGTTAAACCTGCCACCGAGCTGGGACTGTACTGCAACTTCTAGGGAAATTAGCAAAGAACATCTGGGCAGGTTTTGAATGCTTATAACTTTCCCCCCCCTTAGATATTTGTGTCGTCAGGCTCCCCGCCCCCTCATTACATACCCTTATATTTTCCCCATGTCCATCCCTATTGCATTTGATGTTTAGGATGAGCTAAGTTTAGCAACCACTGTGAATAAAAGACTGAAGTGTTTGAGAAGAGAGGTGGGGGCGAATGAGAGATGGTGTTGGTGAGAGAATGCAGCTGCCTGTTTGACATCTCCCATCTGGTGTAAGTGATATGAGAGCTAAAGCCAGCCAGCCAATGGGGAACTATGCCTTTGCATTCCCCAAATGTTACCTCAACATGCCGTGTATCCAACTCCCATTTAGACCAGTGGGGGGGGGATGGCAGTGACTTTCCTTGTAGTAGCCATTGACATCTCGTTTATTTCTACCTGCTGGCATTGTAAAGATCTTTGGCTAGGAAGAAAAGTAACAATTCGCTGCAAAAATACACCACCCAATCTTCTCCATTTCCCTATCTTCAATCTCAGTTCTGTTTATTTACATCTTTAGAAAATAAACGCATATAAACAATTTTCTCTCTAAAAGGGCAAAAATGCCCCATGTGGATAACCACCAAATTCCAAAATCCCTCTCTCTTCTCCCTTTTTCTTTCTTTTGTTGTCAGGATTTTCCACATCAAGGAGGCAATGCCTTTCATGACAACTTACCTAGTGTCCAGAATCCCTTGTTTATAAATTTCCTTTGAAGGAAAAGTGGCATGTACCCAAAGGACAATTTCCCTGTGGTATAGCAATGAATGAGGGTGCAAATCTTCCTTCATTAAA